CCTGGGTCGGGACCGGGCCGGACTGGTTCATCGTGAAACTCGATTTACTACCGCGGCGTAATGCAACGTGCCCTTTCCCGCCCTTCGTCCTCGTCTGTTTGCGTGTAATTGGGAAGCTTAAGCCCCGGTGTACGATAATAATGCGAGTTTCCCCACCTGATCGAGTTACTTCGGAATTGTCTTGGCCGCCGCGGGCTAACGCGTCGCCCAGAATTGTCGAGGGGGTTGGATGGAGGATGCGAGTTCCATGATTTCTGCACGCGGGTGGCTACGAAACGGTTTCTCCGATTTGCTGTAATTCCGGCCGGGAAAACCTCCTCTCACCTGTGGCTAATGCATACATTGCAGCGAACCACGCTGTCCATGATTCACTGTTTATTATCATTGCAATATTCTCGTTTATTATGACGACAAATTGCATTATTATCGCGTTTCATCGTTCGCCAAATCAAATTCAATCTCATCTTATGGATTCTCGGGAAAATATGCGATTCGGATCAAATAGCAGTTTTATTTTTTCCATATATATTTTCGTTTCCTTTGTGAGATAATTCGCACAAGCGATTCAACGTATAAAGATATACAATTTCATGTGCAGCATGCTGCCGCAGCAATTTGTTGCTATTGGTGAAGTTCAATTGAACGAACAGCAAAAGCAGCAAAGCAGAAACATACGCAACTAGTTGATTCTAATTATTTATTACTATTATTATTATATTTGTTAAATAATGGATTTTCAAAATAAAATAGATTATTATGAGAATATAAAAACAAGAATCGTAATTTTAGCCTTGAAATAATAAGAGAACAAAGAAATATGCTCTAATACTCTAATAAATTTGGATCACGTGTGATTTGCTGCTGCTGCAGCATGGATGACCGGAAGTATATCGAACAAAGATTTCATGCGCGGAAACGACGAAAATGACATCGTCATGATCGAAAATCGAACCTCGATAAAAAAAACCGGCGCTCTCTTTCGTGCGGATTTGGAAAAAATCAGCGGGCTTGGCTTTCGGCGTATCGCCGAAGCTTTGCTGACGCGATCCCGAACGAGATTATGCGAATGCGTTTATAATGCTTCTCCCTCTTTCGCCCTTCCGACTCTAATATGTGCGTAACGCACAACAGGTATGATAATGCAAAGCCGTGCCGTGTGCACGCCGTCGTTTATATAGCCGGACAGGGATTAAAGTAATGCATCGATGCACCGGTTCGCCGCATTGAGCCAAATGAGAAGATTTAATCCCCCTCGTGCAAATTACATACACATTAGTGACGCTCACAGGATCCTCACAGGCAGAGAATCCTATCTTTGAATCATCATTCGCAGCGCGAGTACAAAATTATTTCCTCCTCATTGTTTGTCGCGTGATATTTTATCTGACGCGGTAAAAACGGAGTAAAAAAGAGGTATAAAAGTAGTTATTTGTGTAAAAAATGGTAACGTTAACGTTGTTCATTTAATACGACAGACAGGAAAAGGGAGAGTAATTTTTTGCACTTCGCGTGAATATATTCGATATGGTAATCCCATTTTTGCTGAGGTCGGCCACGAAATATGGATATTCTCGCGGAATTAAGGCACAAGTCTCGTCTAACGTAATGACGTTGAGCAAATATTCCTTTGAAGGAGTTCTGTGTCTGTTTATAGTCATTTAATGGATTCCAAATAGGACGCTTCGCCTATTGCGTATCTCGTCCAGAGTGCAACGTCGCAATTAACCACGCTGATTAGGCAATGCGCTTTGAAGCGACAAGCACACGATGAAAGGTTCATACACTCTCCCACATAATATCGTTGATTTTATACCCAAAGGATTCAAATTTCTCGAAATGCAATCGAAATAGCGGGAAACGCTAATATGATAAGATTATGTTGCAATATAATTAGCGGAATAAGATTTCACTTGTTTTATACTTATATATAATTTATATATCTGCATTATGAATTTTTTTCCGATATGTATATATATTTGGAGAAGTTTATTCTTTAAAAATATAAAATACTACTAAAGCCAATTGAAAGTTTAATTCAACAAATTCAGAACGTCCGTTTCAATGGGTATAAAAAAATTTATATTATATTAAGTCCGAATCAGAAAGGAGATTGTATAAAAATATATTAAATAAAGTTTCGCACGCCAGCTACTTCGTTAATAAATACGGTTCAACAATTACTTTGAAGCAAGATTAGAAGTGGCAATCATTCGTCGACGTAACGAGTTAACTTTTAACTAAAATGATGCAGCAACTTACTTAGCGAGAGAGATCGGACGAAGAATATGATCGGAATCAGGAATAGAGGAGGATAGTTTAAGGGAACGTAGGGCGTAGAGACTAAAACGAGCCGTGGGAGAATTCAAAACCGAAGCGCGGCCATCAAATACGCATTCGGGGGGATTTACAAGTTATTCAAATATTCCCCACCCGCGGTAAGCTACGATGAATACTCGGTATTCCAATTTAATCCCCTTCGAAACCCGTCCGCCCTCAAATCACATCCTCGTAGCCGAACCTCCCCCCCCCTCCCAACCCTCTCCTCATTTTCCCACCCCGTCATTCAGACGATTCGCCATTAATTCATTCGGTCGCATCGGAAAAATTGTCGAGCTCGGAGAAAAAATGTCGGTACGAAAAAAATAGTCCGAAATAACTTGCGGTAAAGCGGATTTCTGTCGGCACGCCGACAATAAACTCGGACAAAATTATTGGTCGGACCGATGTAAAAAAATATATATGTATATATATATATATATATATATATATATATTGAAATATATATTAAAAAATGAGATTTAAAAATACATTATAATTAAATTTTATATCATATTTAAATGTAATTATTTAGCAGTAAAATCAATGAAATATTCCACAAATTTTGCTTGATATTTGCTAGACGTGCTCGTGTGTTCAAATTAAACAGACCCTTTTTTCTCTATGTACAAATGCTTTGCTTTATGATATTTTTTTATTCGCATAACGATGAAATATTAAAACAGTACGTGTACTTGAGCTGTATTTAAATATACGTTATTTTAAAACATAGTTATTAATTTTTGACGTATTTTGTAAAAATACGCGAATCTGAATAGCGCATTTTAAAAGCGCGACGCGAATATGCGAAGCTTTGTTGTGTTACCACTACCGCAGGCTATGCACATTATTCGAAATGTGGAACACAACGTATGCACAGCTGGCCTATTTTTGCAATCTGTACATACATTGCCGAGAATAATCATTGCTAGAGAAAGTCGCGGGATTGTGTAGAAATATTGCGGGGATGCGTTGAGCGTGCGTTACAGTTGGTCGTTCTTGTGCAAAAATCCTGTGTTTAAAGGACAGAAACGGCATGGAATGCGGAAAACAAGAATGCAGAAGGGATTATTTATTTGACAGAGAAGCGACATTTAATCGAAAGATTTTCCGAGATAAAAATTGTCTTAAAATTCTTTAAAAAATTTCATGTTTCAACAAACATATGTATACAAATATATTACAAACGAATCGTCGCCTACGTCATTGTTCGGCAGGGCAGAAAGTATGCTTGTATCCCTGTTCGCGATAACGTCGCAATATCCGCGTACTTTGCATAAAAATATTCATGTAAAAGTGCAGATAACACACAACGAATTATCTGAATGTATTTGTAAGACCACTTACCGCATTTATCGCGGTTGCATCTCGCATACGGGCGCAAAGTCACGATACGGACGCTGCTGTTATATTTGAATACGCGATCGTTACCGACAACGCGTACATCGCAAAACCACGCAGAGCTTTATGAAGCGAACGTTTAAACCTCCTGGCGAGCATTGTCGCACGTGCGAGCGCGGAATTAATGTCGTCAAAGCGAATTGATATTTTGATCACGCAGGCCGCGGAACGGCGCCCGGGTAAACGTAATTTCGTTTGCGCCTAATTGAGCGTACACCGATCGAGAGATCGCGGATAGATCGATTAATATCGCAGTTCGTAAAACTAACTCGATCCGATACCGGACAGTTAAAATTGCACCGAATTTGCCGCGCTCCGTCAATCTTTCATCCGACAATAATACGTGCAAGAAACGTTAAAGTTGATACAAAGCAGATCGTCACAATTGAAATGTCAAAGTTACGCCGAAAGTGTCATTTATTTTCTCTATGTAATAAAAGATTTTTTTTTTATATATGAAGAGAAGAGCTTTTAAAGATATTTATATTAATTTAAAAAATAATAATAATATATGCGAGAATCAGATATTTGGAATTCACGGAAATACGGTATGAGAGAAAGATTTCGTTTTCAAGACCTTACACTCGAGGTGAGCGAGAGTCCATAAGTGCGTTTAAGCGCCGCATCTATACACGGATTACACGAGAGAACGGGACGAGTGCTCTGCTCTTTAACGTTGCTCGATAGACCGAGACTGGAACTCGATAGACCAGCCCTCTCTCTATCTCGTCGTACGAAATAATAGTTCGGTGATGCGCGTAGCGTCACGAACGAGCGTTGAAAGACCAAGCTACCGGGAGATATAGGTATAGGTGGATCGAAACCCCCAGGAGGGTGGACATTGGTCCTCTGACCAACGTTTACGATGATAATATCACGGGGTCACATTTTCATTGGCGTACGCTTTTGTCGGATAATAACGGATAATAATGCTTAAACGGACGATCGTCGATTCAATTCGATTGTCTCCGCTATTGTGACGGCCGCGAAGTGCGTCATGCATGCGACACTCTCATTTCTATCCTATACGTGACGACCAGAAGCAATACGCGAGAACACGGCGCCATTCACGTGCCGAGATATTAATAGTTCGCGATCGAATTACAATAGTTGTAATTATAGAATTGCAAATATAATTCCGCGAATGAAATGTTTTCTTATTCGACAATCCGCTGTCAATTGTTTGTCCTACACCGCTATTTGCGGCAATGTATATAGGCATCATATCATTTCATAAAAACATATGTAGCAATTATACACTCGCGTAATTAATTTAGACTTACTTGATTCTTGCCCTTGAGAACGAGGACATTGGTGACGCGGCCGAAGGGCAGACCCAGGTGGATGATTTCTGTCTCTGACACCTCATTAGGTATGTTCCTAATATGAATGACTCTGGAAGGTTTGCCGCTGTGACTCTTGTCGAGCTTAACCTGGAACAAAAAGAATGAATCCCTCGTGAGTCGTCGGATAAGGCGAGCTGAGAACTTAATGTCTAAGCTTTCCATAAATATATATAGCCCGTATAAATAAGGAGAAAAAAATACAAATAGTGTCATAAATTTAAAAAATGTTAGAATCGTATAATATCTAAAAAAAAAAACTAATTATGAATCTGATTCAACATGTAATACGGTCTAGCAAACTCAAATATAGCTGTGACATACAAAATTATCAACAGAGAATTATCAACTGATCATTCTCTAAAAGCTCTTTGTATTATATTCTTACCATAGACATTTCAAATGAAGATAAATACATCATCATTTAAAGATTTATTTAAATAAATTATTTTTGAAAATTTTATTTTCTGAGAATACTGGATTTTAAATAAATAGGAAATATTTATTTTAAATGTAAATAATTAAAATTATTTATTAATATATTCTAAAAAGTTATATTAAAATTATATTTAAATTTGAAACGTTTAAAAATTTTCAAATTTGCATTGATTTAAAATTGCATTTTAAATGTTACATAGAAAAGAGAAAAGCAATCACTTTCGCATTTATTTAAAAAAATAAGTACGTTTAAATGTTTAAAACATAAATTATTTAATGCTAATTTACGAAAACAACTTGAATAATTATTGTATATATATATATATATATATAAAATATAAAATATTTCATAAAATACAAACGGATTTAAGAGAGTAAGCCGTAATATGAAAATAAATAGAACAAGTACAAATTCAACGTAATATTTTTTTAGATATTTTATGCTCGCGTATAATAAAAAAAATAATTATTTTAATCGAGATTAGCCGCAAAATTTCTCTAACGCAAAATATATATATAAAATATTTATTTTGGATTGGTAAAATCAACTATCATAAATATTTCAGATATAGAATTATGATTAACAGAATATATTAATTATAATTTATGCAAATGTGCATATTATTATTATATGAACCTAAATATATATTGTTAAATTAACCTATTTGTAACAAATGTAGAAAAATAATTATGTATATTTTTAATTCTATTTCAAATACGATTATATATCGATTATACGCCCATAGAATTAATTCGCAAGTAGTAGAACAAGACAACTGGCCCGACGAAATTTTCGGTCGATCGTTTTTTTTTGCGAAAAAGGAAGAGAGATTTTATTGAATTCTCAGCCGCTTATATTATTCCATATGCGATGGGGCAAAAGTCGAAGAACGCGCGCATCTAAGATATACGTATATATATCCTCGATTCTTGTGTATGCGCATATATATATATAGACATATATATACATACATATATATATATATATACACATATATACTTAAGTCGAAACTCTCGTGCCGCCGGGGGCGGAGTTTTCAATCACGTCTCTATCTAGTCGAACTCACAGTCGAGAACCCGAGCGCGTCTTCCTTTCCCTCGCTTCCGGAAAGAACCCCCGAAACCCCATCTCTATGTCGGCTTCGCCGTTGAGGTTTTCCCTGTCTTTTTTTCCTCACCGTTCCGAGGCTCTCTTAGGAACGTCGCTGAGGTTTAGTCGGGCTTAACTGATCGGAAAACGCGCTTCTTACTGGGTTAAGGAAGATGGATATTTCAGAGGCGTTCCATCCTTAATCCTCTCCCCCAGCCTCTTTCACGTTCCGTGGAACGAAGTTCGAAAGAACGACAGATATTTTTATTTGAGCGTCATTTGAGTGTCAATCGATACACAGCGACACGGACGAAGTACGAGAGAGATGGATAATTAAAAACGCTCCGGATTATGAGTTATTAGCGGATAATTGATTTAATTAATCGGTTAATTAATTAATCGCATAAATGAGTTTACAGGACGGTGGAAAATATATAAATATATAACGATAAAATATATATATATTATAAATGAGAATCAAATCAATTTTCAAAATACATGTGGAATAATATTATATGTATAATGTAGTAGAAATATAAAAGGTAAATGGAAAAACAATGAATATTATTTTTTCTGGAATATATCAATCTATTAATAGAAGCTATTGCGAATTCTCGACGTATGTGTCCCAAAATTACTGGATATCCTTTAACCGGATTTTCTGATCAATTTATGAGCACGATTATTCCTTACCGATAAAATTTTTTTGGTGTATATATATATATCTTTATAACTACGCTTTAAATTAAAATTCTATTAAAGTAAATCCTATCTGAAATTAATTGAAGAAAGTATAGTTTAATTAATCTTTTAGAGTTTAGTTTGCGAAAAGTTTTTTTAACGTTTATAACTCTATAAGGAAAAATCCAAGTTGATCAGAGAATGTACTTTTAAATAGGATATCCGGTGGTTTTGTATGAAACACATTTGTCTCAACGTGACGGGAGTATCAAGTGAAAGTTAAACGGTTTATCTTCTCCTTCATAAATACCGGGAGATGGCCGGCATTAATTAACTCGAGGTATAAGAGGAAGATCTCCTCGACTGTCCGCGTGAATGAATTAAAAATCAACTCTCGCCGACGTCCCTTTATGTCCACCTCAATTTTCCCGGCGTGACGTGACGCGGCCACGCCGTCGCGGTTTAATCTCGCTTGTACGAACTGCCACGACAGCGACAACGACGACGACTACAACAATGAAATCGGATTATAAACGAGTTGGCGTGCCGTAATAAGACGGATTCCATGACGAAGCGATAAAGCGTTTCTAGCTCAACAGGTCAAAGTCGCGGCGCAGTAGCACGACTTCTCTTTTAAATGTTCAAACAAACATGATAAAAAGAAAGAGGGATTATATGAAATTTCTGTCCTAATCTTATGTCTTATATCTGAATTTATCATTGATTGGTATTTCAGATCTTATGTACAATAAATAAAAAAAATTAATCGGAAAAATTTAACAAACCCTATTCCTTGAGTTTTTGCAATAATTTTTTAATTTTCTCCGCTGATCTATTCTTGACATATTCTTGAAACAAAGAAATAAAAGAGAATAATGGAACGCGAGTCTACCAAAATTCTAACAAAATGAATTAAGTTAAAGTTAAAACATCATTATACAATAGATGTCAGTAACATTTTTTGAAATTATACAAGTCAATTAATTGAAAAATGCGAAACATTTAATTGACTTGTATAATTTCAAAAAATGTTACTGACAACCATTGTATAATGATGTTTTAATAACTTGAACTTAATGCATTTTGTTTCACTTGAAAAGAACCACAATCACATGGTCGAAACGTCGTGAAGCTATGAATAAAATATTCACTCACTAGTTTGGTCGATTATTTTTACAACTCCTATTTAAATATTAGTGACTATTATTAATAATTGGGAATTTATTAAAATTCGAAATGTTTCTGTATTTTTTATATTATTTTTATCTTCACGGTTATAAGAGATATAACAAAAAGGGCAACGAGTCACGGTGAGAATGCATTAACCGCACATGTCGGAGATATCGATCCTAAACGCGAAACGAGACGCTTCACCAGTGGCGACGCGAAGAATTCCATGGAAAGGTCCAGGAGAGGGTACGACACAAGTGGATGTCGATCCCGGAAGAAGGACGGTTAATTGCTCGGTGTTTCTTCGCCGCGCGCGAAGGAACGCGCCGCGCTAACAAGATTCGCTTCGAGTGGCCGTTCATTCACCGTCGAGAACCACCACCGTCTCACTTCGCTTCGAGTCCAGACGGCGTGTTTCCGGGTTCTCCACTTTCAACGTATATAGAATAGGAACTCCGGCGCAGACTCTCAACTCTTCAACCCCTTCTTACAAGTTCAGCTGCGATCGAGAACATCACTTTGGAGCGAAACTTGAGTCACCAGTTGCTAAGTCCGCGATCCAAAGCGACGATATTTAAAAACAACATCTAAATTGCTTACTTATTAATTACATAAATTACTTTAATTATTTTTGTGTATATTGAGCGATAAGAGAATTGAGTTACTCTTCGCTTCTAGTTCCAAAGCGCGTCCTCGATCTCGGACAGGTCTCGTCGATCGATTTTCTTCACCGTAGTCGATAATTGGATATAATGAAGGCAATTTGTGGAAAATCGCTCTTAGGAAATGGGCCACGCGAGTCTCGTGCGTCATAACGACCGGTGACGCCAAAAGTCGAATACGATCCCGCGATTTGATTTATCGGTAAATGCGCCATTGCATAATCGCTATAGCGTGATTTGTTGTCTGTTTATGAGGTCATATTTCCCTACATTACGCATACCTAACACTATCATTATGGATGTATCTAATAAAAATTCCCCATGACAATTTTGACGAAAGAAAAATAGGGAAAAGAATATTAATTAAACGTCTTTCGTATAAATAAAATAATTAAAAAATGTCCAGCTTTTAATAATATTAGTAATATTATTTTTTTTTTCATTTTATTTAAATGATAAATTCATTTTTTCAGCATGATATAAAAATCAGAAACATTTGTATCCTTCGAATAACAATTACGACACCGTGATTTCATAATCATCCCAGTGTCTTCTACGCGGCTTTTAATAAAGTTTTATACGAGATACGTATCCAAAATGTCGTAAAACAGAAAACCGCAGTAATTGTAAATTCGTCGTGGCATATCACACGCAGTTACATCCGTAGCGCCGTGTTATTTCGATGTAAAGCGCCGGTAGTAAGTCTTACGCGAACGATAAACACGTGACTCTCGTAACTCTCGTCCCTGCGTATTCTATAAACGTCGAAAGGTAAGCGTGTAAAAGTGAAGTTAACAGACCGATAACCTTTACGGCGTCGCCGCCGTTAAGCGACGCCTTAAAAGTATCTGTAAATGAGAGCAACTCACCTGTAACGGATGCTGCCTATTACGCAGTCATGACGATCGTTAAGCACGGTAGTTTACGGAAAACGTCGAATGGACGCCTCGATCTCTCGCGAGTACCGTTAATTCGTATCTCTTGACGTCAATATTTCCATGATAACAAATGATTCATCGAATCCACAAGTAATATAATCATTACGGAAT